TTGATGCTTTTGAGTTATGGTGTTGGAGGAGAATATTGAAAGTACCATAGGCTGCCAAAAGAACAAACAGATCGGTGTTGAAAGAAGTGCAGCCAGAATGCTCCTTGGAAGCCAGGGTGGCCAGACTTCATCTCTCATACTTCGGACATACTGTCAGGAGGGACCAGTCACTGGAGAATGATATCATGTTTGGTAAGGTGGAGGGTCAGAGAAAAAGAAGAAGACCCCCTAGTGAGATGGAATGGCAAAATGGCAGCATTAATGGACTCAAGCATGGCAACAATTGTGAGGCTGGCCCACACCAGGGAATGTTTTTGTTTTGTTGTGCAATGGGTCGTTATGAGTCCATATTGACTCAGTGGCCCCTAACAACAACAATCTGCCTCCAAAAGGTCATAGCCATTAAAAACCAGATAGAATGCAGGTCACGCTACAACACACAGTCACCATGAGTCAGAGTACACTTGATGGCAACTGGTTTTATATCCTAATAAATATGTACAACATGTAGATTATTTCTTCTCAAAACCTGTTCTTCTGTAAGACTCCTCTTTTTCTTCTTAATGTCACCATCCTTACCTTAATTATCTGGTCACTTGGGAGATTCTGAATTGCTCTGCTCCAGTGTGTCCTTAACTCATTCCATGCTCTCTGTGTGTAATGCCTTGGTAATTTCTGAAAACCTGATGTTGGGTTCACCTGTCTTTAGTCTTCTTGGCTTCCACACCACTGCCTGATTCAACTTCTGACCTCACTGTGTGGATCCTGTCACTCCTCTGTTCATCAACTCTTGAGGACTCCTTGTTACTATTACCTAAATCTCTTGGTTTGCACTTTGAGTCCTGAGTTCAGTCTCTGAAGTTGGATACTTGTGTCCTTGCCCTGGCTCTGTCATGTACTGTGTGATCCTGAGTGCATCCCAACAGCTGCAAGAATAGGAACTTGAATTCGGTCCTGTTAGGAACTCCTCGTATGGTTTTGCAGGATCAACACTGGACTGTGAACCACAAGGTTAGCAGTTCAAACTCACCATCAGCTCCTTGGAAACCCTATACAAGGTCACTAGAGTCAGAACTGACTTGACAGCATTTAACAAGGTTCCCACTTTTCCCACTGTCTTGTTTTCCTGTTTGTTCCTAATCTTCTCTTACATTAACTCTTTCTACCTCTTGTAATTTCTAGATTTGTTGTCTTGGTTGGAACTTTTCTTCTTGTCTGAAATTCCTGCTCCTTTCCCCTTCCTTGCACACTTGAGCAAGTCTTAACCTCTCCATGAAGTATTCTGAAATTATGTTATCTGGGTTTGGATTCTTGACATTATTCTGTACCACCTATTTGATAATTAATATACTACTATAGTTACTTTTGTGGAGTCCTGGTGTGGAACTGTGGGCTAATGTGTCATACTACAAAGTCTTTTGAACTACAAGGTCGGTGGTTCAAGCTCACCAGTTTCTCCTTGGAAACCCTATACAGGGTCACTATGGGTTGGAATAGACTCGATGGCACTTAACAACAACAACAATAATTATTTTTAGAGTCTTTTATTACAAAGTGAATCTCTGATTACTTTAATGTCAACATGCCTAGTTTTTCCCTGACCTCAAGGTCAGTTTGAGTCGCAAGGTCAGTGGTTCAAACCCACCAGCAGCTCCTGAGAAACAGGGTTGCTGTGAGTTGGAACCAACTCAATGGCACTTGACAACAACAACAACAGCAGCAACAATATAGTTGAGGGAGCACACATTATGCTTCATGTTGCCCCCTAGGGTGTTTTGCATATGCTGGATAGTGAATATTGATTGGTTGTTTACTTTGTCAGTAAATGTCTTTTACCAATACTTATCTAGCTCCATACTCTGCAAAAACAAAAACAAAAAACAAAACATCAAAAACAACCCAGGAACAAAACAAAAATTTTGCTAATTGAAAAATGTAATAGAATAGATAAGCTATGAATCAGTATTTTGTCACTATATTATTTTTCCTATTTTTTAACTTAGAAAAGCTGCTTGTTGTTGTTAAGTACTGTGGAACCGGTTCCAAACCACAGCGGCCCTGCACAGGGTTTCTGAGGCTGTAAATCTTTATGGGAGCAGAAAGCCTCATCTTTCTCCTGCGGAACGGCTGGTAGTTTCGAACTACTGACCTTGAGGATAGCAGTGTGATTTGTAACCACTATGCTACCAGAGCTGCATAGAAAATCTACCTGGCATTTCTATAATTCTTGTTTTAGAAACTTTTAGGCCACCAAAGGCTACAAATGTAATGTGTTCTGCAATGGTTACTTCTTTGTTTTTTTTTTTTTAAAGCAACTGCTTTAAATTTGATTTCCTTAATTAAGTCCTGGTGTGGCACTGTGGGTTAATGTGCCAGACTGCAAAACTGTTTGAACTGCAAGGCCAGTGCTTCAAGCTTACTACCTGCTCCTCAGAAACTCTATACAGGGTCGCTATGGGTTGGAACTCAACGACACTTAACAACAACAAGCTGTAAAAATGATTAGGTCATTTCTACTGTGCCTCAACCTTCTCTTCTAGGCACTTGTGTCTTAACAGTTTCATGACACCATGTTATTACCAAAGACCACTTCTCTCAATTAATATATGTGAAAAAAAATGTATGTGAACCATCATCTCTCATTAAAATGAAAAGCAGTGTGTCTTTTACATGCATTTAGGTTTGGTGCAAAGTCAGGGATATAGTTTTAGAAATAAGCCAATAAACCAGATAATATAAAGAACAGAAATCTTAGTAATATTTTGTAATTAAAGTTTTTTGATGTAATGAATCCATTTGAGTCTTACATGTTTCATATGATGAATTTTTATTTATGAATGGATAACTGTGCAGCTACCTCCAGATGCAGATCTGAACAATTTCTCCTACCTAACAGGCTCCCTTGTGCCCTCTCCCAGGCAATACCCTGCTTGTTCTGATCTCTTGTTTCTGTGGATTCATTTTGCCTGATGCTGACCTTCATATAAATGAGACCATGCAGGATATATCCTTTTGTTAATGGCTTCTTTTATTCAACATTAAGTTTGAAAGTTTAATCCATGTTGTTGCATATAACTGTAGCTACTTATTTTTCATTGCTGTGTAATATTCCATTGTCTGAACATATAGCAATTGCTGATCTATTTAGCTGTGGATAGATATTTGAGTTATTTTCAAAATTGACTTTCAGGAATAAAGTTACTATTCACATTCTCAAGCATGTATTTGTTGGACAAAAGCAACCATGTTTATTTGATATTGTAAATATCAATATACAATTCTAAGAATTAAATTGCTATATCATAGAATGTGTGTTTATACCACCAATTTCCTAAGGAAGTTGCTCCTGTTTGTACTCCCATCAGCAATGTGTAAGGAATCCATATTTAAAGTTAGAGTTCAAAATCTGTGATAAGTGTTGCCAGTAGGGTATATGCCATCCTTTTATTCAAGCTAAAATCCTAACTTGGAATTGGAGGTTATAGTTGTTGTTGTTAAGTGCCATCGAGTCGGTTCCAACCTATAGCGACCCTGTATAGGGTTTCGAAGGAGCAGCTGGTGAGCTTGAACCACTGACCTTTCAGTTCAAATGACTTTGCACTGAGCCCACAGCACCACTTATAATTGTTGTTGTTAAGTAGGTACCTAAAAAAATAAGAAGTCATCATGGTTGACTTATTAGTCTTTCTAGTGCAGACCTCATATTCTAGTGCTAGGGTTCTGACCCTTAGCTTCAAATTAGAATCATGAAGAAGTTTATTAAAGAATGCTGCTGCCTACTGAATGCCAGTTAAATCCGATTATCTAAAGGTATTGTTCATTTTAAAGAGCTTGGTGAGTCAAGTGCACAGCCATAGTTGAAAAACAATATTTTAGTATTTTGATTAGTTTTAAAGTCATGCTTCTTCCTTTATTTAAAGAAACTACCTTTTTGTCTCACAGTGTTGCTGATGCTTTTCATTTGGGAGAACATATTTATATATATATTGTTGTTGTTAAGTGCCTTCGAGTTGGTTCTGACTCATAGTGACCCTGTATAGGATTTCTAAGGAGCAGCTGGTGGGTTTGAGCCACTGACCTTGTGGTTCACAGTCCAGTGCTGATTCTACAGAGCCACACTAGGAATCCTATATATACATACATATATATGTGTGTGTGTATATATACATATACACATACATAAACAGGATTGGACGATATATTGGTTGATGGACTGATGATTATCCACTAAATTCAATATGCTAAATAAGCTCTGTGGAGATTTCTCCAAAGAAAACCTTCTGGTCACAATTCAACACTTACTCCCTACTATGGGATGGCAGCTACTGTAAACACAGGTCAATTGGAAATACCCAGACTCAGGGACATGGATAACCAAGATATCACCTAGATAATCTAAGACTTAAGTACAAGTTACCAATACACAGGGTTGACTTTGTGGTGTATAATTTTGTTGGCTAGCCAACTTCCTTACCTGGATTCTCCAGAATTTTAATTTCTAATCCTCACATGCCTTTGGGAAATACTGTAAAACATTTCTATTGTTATTTCTACTTCTCTCACAGATACAGATTCTTTTATATAAATATGCATAGCAGGTGTTGACAGGAAGTAATGGACTTTGAAGGACACACTTATTTTCTTTTAACCCAAGTTCTCCAGATGGGCTGTTTCTGCTTCCTATAGAATTGTGAACTCTACTGTATATGTTACTGGACAGGTCCCATTTTAGTGTCACTTCTGCTGGGTCCCACTGAGAAAGTAAATTGAATAATTTGGGCATAATTCCCATATTAGTTGACACATGGATGACACATGGACGCCACTTTGGCCCCCTGGTCTCTTCTTTGTATTATCTGTGAGTTTGTGACATTATTGTGCTTCATGTTACCAGTGGAGTTTTGTTCACTAAAGTTGCAAGAGAGAAGTAGGTACAGTCATATAAATTGGTTTTATTTATGGTAAAATTAAGAAATGACAGCAACTAAGATGAGTCATCTAAGCTATCCCCTTGATAGTCTTCTTTATCCATGCGAGGTATTTACTTGAGAGAAGAATGTAGATACCAGGTCCCCGTGGGTCTCCGCATTTCCCTGGAAGGCCGAAGGCAGTGGTGCCTCTGAAAGTACCACCACATATCAAAGGGCTTCCAGAATCTCCCTGGGAGGAAAAGAAGAGGGCGGTAGGGATCAGGGTTGAACATGATCGTTTGTGAAGTGGAAGGAATTCAACATAATTTAATATGAAGTTAAGATCAATCTTGACTTAAGGGAAGATGAGTGTTTAGAAACCCAAAATGTTTGGAAATATTTTATGATTTCTAATTGGCTCACTTGTTTTATTTATGAAGCAGTGGGAATCAAAATGAAACTTGTATTATAGTTTATGCTATCAGCTAATTTGGGGACTGAGAACTACCTGAGTCTCTGCTTTCATAAAGGAAACTATCCTGTTAGCCTGTCATTTTCTCAAACATGCTTAGTAAGTCCAGGAGTAAAATGATCAAATGCAGACAGGATATTGAGGCAAAGAGTGAAAACCATGGAACTGTTTTCTGATTCCTGAAGCAGATAATTGTCTTCCATACTCATAAAGAAACCTTTCTCCCCCTTTTCCCATCTCAAACCAGCCAAGCCAAACTCACTGCTCCCTCCACCAGGACTCCTCGTACCCATCTCAAGCAGGCAGAAATTGCTCTCCCAGGGCTCCTCTGAGCATCTGTTATTTGAGGGAAGCGCTAGAAAACCTGGGATTACACATAGGCTCTCAGTGACTCGACTGGAAAACTCTAACGCTCTTGTTATTGTTGTTAGGTGCCATCGAGTTGGTACCAACTCATAGTGACCCTGTGCAGAACATAATGAAATACTGCCAGGTCCTGGGCCAACCTCACAATTATTGCCATGCTTGAGTCCATTGATGCTACCACTTTGCCAATTCATCTTACTGGGAGTCTAAAGCTATAAGCTTCTGCTTTATTCTTTCTGATTGTCCCATTGAATATGTGAAATTGTATTCTACCCTCCCCACTCTAGACTCAACATATTTAAATGTGTCTGAAGTCTAGAGTCTTTCCTACGGCTTTAGTGTTAGAAAGAAGAGCCCTGCAGAGGCATTTGTAAGGTTGTTATTGTTAAGTGCTATTGAGTCAGTTCTGACTCATAGTGTCCCTATATAGGGCTTCTGAGGAGCAGCTGGTGAGTTTGAACTGCCGACCTTATGGTTCAAACTGACTTTCAGTCTAGTAGCTTTGTCCTACAGTGCCACACGGAGACTCCTGACAAGCATGTATAAGTTGTTGTTGTTGTTATGTGCCGTAGAGTCGGTTCTGACTCATAGCGATCCTGTACAGGGTAGAGCTCTGCAAATGCCAGACTGAGGGACCAATTCCACCCAACTAGTGGGAAGGTACCAATGATCTGCCTCTTTCATGAAAATTTTGACCCTATGAGAGTGTATGAAGCAAGGGACCATGTGAAAAGGTGGGGTCTTCCCTGGACATGTATGTTTTTGGCTCTGTAGGAGAAGTAATAGACTGAAAACCACAAGGTTGACAATTTGAGCCCAAGAAACGAGAAAGTTTGAGTCCAGAACCCTCCCACTTCCTGAAGGCCCTCAATCTTTGATAACTTCCAAGCTATTGCACACTCCTTCTCTTCAAGTGAGGCTCTACGGGGATCTTGGAAGAGGTGAAAAGTGTGATGCCAGTACTCATAAAAACTGTGAAGCACTTTTCCTACTCTTGCCTTTCATCTGTCCCAGTCCACTACTCCTTAAGGACATAAGGAAGGCTTGCACAGTCTCCAAAGTGGGGCATGCATGAAAGTTGTTTGTTGAGGATTAAACTTGATCCTAGGGACTTATTATTGGGCCCAGCTCCAGATTATGAGTCAGATTTGGGAATGGCCAGCATTTCAGACTTGCCCTTGTTGAGTAGGAGAGAAATTTGATGCAAGGAGGGAGTTGGGATAGGGAAAAAGGTACTGAAGGCCCTAGAGCTCTCCTGAGTGTTAGCTTCTTTCAGGTTTAGATCTATGTATGTTAGGAGCTCTGGTAGTGTAGTGGTTACAAATTGGGTTGCTAGCCTCAAGGTCAGCAGTTTGAAACTACCAGCTATTCTATTCCTCAGGAGAAAGATGAGGCTTTCTGCTCCTGTAAAGATTTATAGCTTCAGAAACCCTATACAGGGTCGCTATGTGTAGGAACTGATTCCATGGTACATAACCACCATGTTAATATAAAAAATGAGAAAAAGAGAAACACTGCTTCTTAGTGGTTTCTAGTAGCAAATCTAGAAGATGCAGTGGCCAACCCATGCATTAGCAGTGAATTCCTATTTGATGAGCTGAGGACATTAATTTCTTTGACTAGGGTTTTATCAAGGAGCTCTGGTAGTGTAGTGGTTACGAATCAGGCTGTGAACCGCAAGGTCAGCAGTTCGAAACTACCAGCTGTTCCATGGGAGAAAGATAAGGCTTTGTGCTCCCATAAAGATTTACAGGCTTGGAAACCCTGTACAGGATCTATGGGTCGGAACTGACTCGTCGGCACATAACAACAACAACAGGGTTTTTTTATCAGTAACTCTTTCAAAAAGCAGTTGCTAAGTGCCGTTGGGTTGGTTCCAACTCATAGTGACCCTGTATAGGGATTCCAAGGAGCAGATGGTGGGTTTGAATGACCAATCTTGCGGTTAGCAAGCCAGTGCTGATCCTACAGTGTTACAGTGGACTCTGTAAAGCCAAGAGCATGATAAGACCACATTACATTACGCTTTCTAGATCTGCCTGGCTCATTCTGACTGCTAAAACATCAGATCTTATTTTACTTACATTACACGTGTCTTTTCCACCTTGGAGGCTTCCGGCACAAATCATATTCAGTCCAATCACGGGATTATAATTATAGTGTTTTTCATCATTGCAGACTTTTCTGTCTATGACAGTGACATTGACTTCCCTCAGAATATTTGAAGACTTAGGTAACTGATTGTTAAATTTCCCCCATCCTGCAACTCGACACACCATTCCTGCTTTCACATCCTCCCCCTTTTCAGGTAGTGGAAGGATAGTCACATTTTTATTAAGTATTGCGTTTTTGTTTAGCTGTTGGGAGACAAGCAAAAAGAATGAAGAGAATCAGATACTTAAAATGCCCACATTTCTATTTGTGTTCTAGTCCAACTCTCAGGGATTCCCTTTTTTTTTAATGTGTAGTTAAAGGGGCACCAAGGAAAGGTTTCCATTTAGGTGGCTAGGTTATGAGAAAGCCTATGGTTTTTAAGAAGACAAATAAATACATACCAGTAGAAGTTTAAGATCACCCTCATGTGTGTCTGGATCATAGCATGGATAAGGAATCTCTTTGATGATGGACATTATCTGTTTTTCTGGTTCGTTCTTGTTTATTGTATGAGCTCCAAGAATGACCTCGGCTTTTTGGCCCCTGAAACAGACACAACACCTTTTAACTGGGTTACCCTTGTCAGCAGGTGGTGAACATGGTATCTTCTGATCAATTTCAAAGTCCCATTTGTAAATATGGTTGTTGTGAAGATAGTTTTTTTGTAGCTCAGAAAACAAAAAACAACTGTGTGGTTTGAAGAGTAACAAAGATGTTTGCAAATGTTAATAGCATTGTTGTTGTTAAGTGCTGTCGAGTTGGTTCTGACCCATAGCGACCCTGTATAGGGCTTCCGAGGAGCAGCTGGTGAGCTTGAACCACTGACCTTGCAGTTCAAATGGCTTTGCAGTCTGGCACATTAACCTGCAGCACCACACCAGGACTCCATTATTGTTGTTGTTGTTAAGTGCTGTTGAGTTGATTCTGACCCATAGTGACCCTGTATAGGGTTTCCAAGGAGCAGATGGTGAGCTTGAACCATCGACCTTGCAGTTCAAACGGCTTTGCAGTCTGGCACATTTTAGTCCCAGTTTATTTATAACAAACTGAAGTAAGTTAATTGAAAAACAAATAATCCAATTCCATTATATTTAACCAAATCTTGGAATCTTTGTTGGGGTTTTAGGGCTGTTCCCCTTCAGGAAGATTACTAGCAAAAAAAGGTCTCCGTGATCTGGAGACAGAAGTAAAAGACATCTGGGAAGTATGATTGTTGTAGAGGAGACTCTTTTTAAGAGACCAATAAACTTACGTTAAATAGGAAATCTTTCAGATGAGACTGCAGGGTGGGGGACTCAGTTTGCTTTGTGTGGCCCTGCAGGTTAGTGTGCTGGACTGTAAAGTAGGTTTGAACTGCAAGGTGGGTGGTTCAAGCTCACCAGCTGCTCCTTGGAAACTCTATACAGGGTCACTATTAGTTGGTACCAACTTGATGGCACTTAACAATAACAACAACAATATATGTATTTGAGGGGGGATGATGGTCTAAAGTAGGGGCCCAGGAATTTCCACTTTCTCCTATTCCATGCTAAGTTTTATTTTACTTAAAATCAAAATGGACTCTGGTGGAATTAAAGCTGTTATCATTTGCAGCCTTTATGAGTTGGGCAGCTAATCTCACAGTCAGCAGTTTGAAACTATCAGCAGTTCCTAGAGAAAAAGATGAGGCTTTCTGTTCCTGCAAAGATTTACAGCCTTGGAAACCCTATACAGGGTCGCTGTTAAGTCAGAACCAACTCCATGGCACATAACCACCACCACCACCACCATATAATGCACCAACAAGCTATTCATACTGTATTTTCCAGAGCAGCAGCTGAGTTCATTCTCACTTATGACAGAACAATGCTGTCTAGTAGAGCATACTTTAATGATGAAATATTGTATAAATCTGCATAATCCAGTATGGCAGCCACTCATCAGCTGTGGGTACTGTGCACTGGAGAGGGGGTTAGGGCCATTGAGGAGCTAAATTTGTAGTTTTTAAAAAATGTTTTATTGTGAATTGTGTGATAGTTTACATGGGAGAACATTAGTTTTACATTCATCCTATCATCTATCGTTTCATTGCCATGGTTACAATCCCCTCCATGCATCATCAACCAAAGTGTACACCCTGCAAGCCCCCCCCCCGGTCGTCAGCACACAGCCCCTCTCCCTCTCTGGGTCTAAAGTCCCCAGCTGCTCCATCTCTCCACGTCATCGTCTCTGCCTCCATCCCTGGCATCACTGCTTCTCTGCATAGGGTCCCACTCTCCACTCTTCTCCCTTGATGGTCCCAGGGACCTCTGCTTCTAGTCTGAGAAGTTAATCACTCTCCTCCTTGCTACAAAACGTCTACCTTTACATTTCCAACCCTCACAATCAATCCTGATAACAATTATTCACTATTGTATCACAAGAGAACTATCCGTTAAATTTGTAGTTTTGTGTAACTTTAATTAACTTACATTTATCTAGCTCCATAAGGAGCCCTGTTGGATAGTGGGTTATGAGTTGGACTGCCAACTCTGAGGTCAGGAGTTTGAAATCTACCAGTCACTTTATGGGAGAAAGGAGAAGCTTTATGCTCCTGGAAAGATTGACAGGCTCAGAAATGCTGTGTAGGATCATTATGAACTGGAACCAACACTTGATCACACAACAACAACAACGTAGCCACATGTGGCTATTGGTTACCATATCTGATGATGTAGGATTAGAGGCTTGATTCTAATCTTGGGCTATCTAATCTGAGTGGAGAAAAGACTAGGCCTAGAAGAGAGCTGAAGGGAGTGGTTGGCAGTATTTAAGAGAAAGCTGAAGGAAATAGAGGGGTTATCTAAGGGAGGCAGGATATTGACAGTGTGCCCAGGCCTCGAAAGGATATTGAATCTTCACCTTTCAGGCAGTGGTGAATTCTATGGGTTGTACAGTCATGACCAGAAGCAAAACTTTGTAGCACCTGTACAAAGACTTTCTTGGTACTCCTTCCTCACTGGCCTGACTCTTTGGACCTGAGGCTAGGTTTAACTCCTTATTGAGTTGAGGCAAAAAGTCTCTTGTATGACACAGTTTGTGTTCAAATACTAACCTAAAGGTTGACAGTGCAAATCCACTCAGTGGCACCAAGGAAGAAAGTCTGGACATTATAGCCAAGAAAGCCTATGTCATTGTTAAGCACCATCGAGTTGATTCTGATTCATAGCCACCTTGTGGTTCAAACCAACCTTCAAGTCCAGCACATTAATCTGCAGCACCACACCAGGACTCCTAAAAACCTATGTTGTTGTTGTAAAGTGCCATCGAGTCAGTTATGACTCATAGCAACCTTGTATAGGGTTTCCCAGAAGCAACTGGTGAGTTTGAACCGCCAACCCTGCTGTTCAAATTGACCTTGTGGTGCAGTGCATTAACCTGCTGTACCACAGTGTGACTTCTACAAACCTACAGAGCAATTTTAATCTTCACTCCAGTGTGGTGCTGTAGGATAAGTACTGAACTGCTAACTGCAAGGTCGGTTCTTCAACCTCACCAGCTGCTGCTCAGAAAACGTAAGCAGGGTCTCTATGAGTCAGAACTGACTTGGTAGCACTTCAAAACAAGAGGTTTCTCATACAAATCGACATGAGTTGAAATTGACTTGCTGGCAATGGGATTTTGGTTTTGTTTGGGGTAGAGCAAAATTTAAGGGATGTGAGAATACAAATGAGTCTCCTATGTGTTTTGTGGGATAAATATCTGCTTATTATGATCACCCCAAATTAGAATAATTGCACAAATATTTTAAGATCCAAAGCACTTACAGGGGACAGTGAGCTGCAGTCAGCACCCAGTTTTTTGCAATCAGAGTCCCAGCACAGATTTTTTTCCCTTTAAGTAGTACCATGTAGGGTCTTGAATGAGGATCTACTTGATTTCCTCCAATGATTTTTGCACAGAAATCTGTTAAATAGAGAAAAGCAATTCTGGTCAGTACTTATTCAAGGAGTTCTAAATAAAGTCATGTTTTTAAGGCTAGCCACGATTTTCCCAAGTGGAGAGGAAGCATGAGTGAGAGCATTTCCCCCTGCTTTTAGTCAATGTAAACCTTAGACACTTGAATGTGAATATCATGCCTATTGGACTTTCTGAAGGGGTCCTGTTCTTTCATCCACATAAGTCAGGTCGTTGGCCATCTCAGGAGTGGTGAGGCTGGAAATCTGTCACAAATCAACATCCTCAGGCTGTAAACAGTAGTTACGAGAGATGCTGGTGGTGATGGAAACCCTGAGTACGCTCTACACCCATCTTCTGTCTCAGGATTAATCTGGGGAGTAAAGTGCTTCTGGAAGCCTGAGAAATTCCCTTTTACCCTCAGTCTTTGCAGAAAATGATCTGATTATAGCTTCTGTTGTCTGATATTCCACCCATGAGTTCTTTGGTCATTGTGAGACTTCTGATTATTGAACTTTGCACCGTTCTTATTCATAAATTGGGAGAATAACATTATTTGCACCTGAGGCTATCCTTTAATGCCCAGACTGAACCTCATGGTTTAATCTAAAGAATTTTCCAATGAGGGAGGGGAAAGGAGAAGATGGTACAGAGGATTCTGCTTCAGTAAAATTTCCTTAATGATAGACTAAGAATATAGACCCATTGTTAGACCCATTATCAGAGAACAGTGAGATCCAAATACAAGGCAAACGGTGCCAGCTGAAAGGAACTTGTGCCTTTGTAATAAACTCTCAGTGCTTCACCTTCTTAGACCAGATGTTCCTGATTCTCCTAAAATTTCTCTCCAAACGGTTGCCTGAGGTACAAAGTTCCTTGAATAAGACCCAGTGCTTGGTGTGCCCTAATTACAGTTAAACTACCACCAAATTGTCAGTAAGGTAGACAATACAAATATAGAGGCCTTTCATGAAGTTTGATGAAGGTGAGAGTAATGGAGAAGAAAATGACCACATGGGCTCTCATTTCCTGAAGGGAGTTGGGAAGGCAAACTTCTAGGTTATGGAAATAAAAGGGCAAGGAAACCATCCACATCCCCGTTTTTCCCAAGGTGAATCACATTATAGATGCATATTTGGACCTTCTCTGAACTTAATAGAATATTCACTTTGGTAAAGAACCATGTTTAATGAGCACATATAACAGTCTTGAAAATATGCCTACTTTTCTTGTAACCCTCAGAAACTCTAGGGAACAGTTCTAGTCTGTCCTATTGGGTCATTATGAGTTGGAATCCACTCAATGGCAGTGATTTCTTGCAACCAAGCATTCCTAGAAGGGTCTGTGGAACTCTTTAGAGCAGATGGGAAGTTTTAAAATACTAACACTTTCTGGTTCTCATCAAGAATAAAATCAGACTCTCTCTGGGGTTGGGGCTGGTATGTTGCCATTAAAAAAAAAAAAAAAAAAAAAAGCTTTCTAGATTATTCTAATTTGTGGCAGGGTTGAGACCACTAGACTACAGTATCAACCTTCACTTGTGAATCTGTTCCCTATAAAGGGTCCGTGCTCCTATATGGACCCATGTTGCTCTTTGAGCACATGAAACAAAATGGGGAACAGCAAGTTGTTTTTGTTTCCTTTGAAAAAAAGATATTATTGGAATTTTTGTCTGCCTTTTTATAACTGTTTTGGAGAATTTAGCATGCCTGAACATGGTCATTCTAGGACACACTTATAATATGCCAACCTTTTTGTCCCAAATATCCATCTTGTTACTTAAACATTTCTTCTCATTTTCAGGTACAAGAGAACCCAATGAACTTTCTCAATAATTTCTGGCAGAACAAGTTGTTTTATCAGTCTCTGCCCACCCCTCCCTCCTCTTAAAGCTGACAGACCCAGGAGAAAACCCATGACTGACTTGTCAGCCCAGTCCCAGGGGTTCATACTTCCTAGAAGGTTTTACAAGGAAAATGTAGACCTGCCCAGGGATTTGAATTTCACAGCCAATGCCAAGGGGCGCTTACATAAAACCAGGAATGCTAGCAACCATTTAGCACACCAAAGGTGTAGCTTAATTACGACTAATAAAAAAGTACTAAAGAGCTCTCAAAGAATTGTTATGGGGACTTCCCCAATGTCCTAATTAATGTATTCCCATAGAAACTCTAACTTAGAGAGATCATTATAAAAATTCAAATCATGCCTGGTTCATTTTTGGTGTCTAGATCATGTTTGTCTTCAGTGTCTTTAAAATGAGTGCATTTTCTGCTGCAAGCAGGCTTAATTGACTCATATACTATCATTAATTTCCTAAAGGTACAATTAGTTTTCCCAACTCAAAGACCTTTTTAAAAATGGGTTTGCTTGTTTACACCTGGTCTTTATTTGGACAATTTTCATGCTACAATAAACACAGGTGGTTCTACAATCTTTCATAAAGAAATTGTAAAGAAGAACTTGTAAGGAATAAATGAGAATGTGCTTTCCTTCTAACATAAAGATAGATGTTTAGAAGTCAAGGAAGAATCCTAGCTATCTTAAAGTTTTGGGGAAGCAATCTTTTCGTAGTAGAAATAGCTAGTATTGCCGAATATTCATTGAAAGTTTGCTCCATTTTTGCTTCATAGTTAGAATGGAAATGATAAGAATTTGTCTTACCTTCAGGAATTAGCAGAAGAAAATTGACGATTGAGAGAAAGGACGCCAGAAATGTGTAGGAATTCCTCATTGTGGCTGGTGTCCCCACATCAATCAATATGAAAATCTGTTTTGTTCTTAATTGCTGCTACCCAATATATTGAGAGTACAAAGGATGTGGTTGCCTTTCTTCCTTTGCAGTTTCTAAGGTGCCATAGCATTGGAAACACAAGTGAGAACAGTGAATAATTGCTCATCAACAGCTCTGCCAGGAGATAGGTGGAGTTGTAAATCAACAGGCTTGTGGTTGTAAGGGGACTTTGCTGCTACCAGAGTACAGGGAGTCCCTGGGTGAGGAATGTGACCAGTTCCTAAGCATGTCTTTAAGTTGAATTTGTAGGAACATGTGCAAACAATTCTTATTTAGCCTTACATTAGGATGAGAAACGTTTTAAACTGTCTTTCCTTCCAGAATCAGTTGGAAAAGAAAAAGGGGAGTCCGACCCAGCTATTTTGCTCTAATATGGGGAAATATATCACTCTAAGAAGTATGAATGCCAGCTGCTAAAGGAACAGTATAAAGTTTGCTTTCTAGTAGAACTGTCTTGAGCTCTTTTTTTGAGTTAAGGATGTGATATTTAGTATAGTACATATGATCATGTGTTCTGTCCGAATCAACCATAGGTAAGGCTTCTGACCTGGTGGTTACTTTTTCTGAAATCACATGACCTTAGGGGAGAGCTCTACTGTTTCCTTTTCCCAGATATTACTATTTCATCAAAGATTAATCATTTTCAGTAATGGCAGTGAGATACCCTGCTACTACTGGTTTTGATTTGGTTGACTATAGCTACTGGAACTGTCTTAACAGAAACATTGACAATTTTGTTTCTTTTTATGGGAATGTGGCTGCTATTTTCCATTTGTATTGACATTGATTGAGATATAGTTGATGTACCATAAATTTTACCCATTTAAAGTATATCATTAAATGGTGTTTAGTATATTTGCAGTTTTGCAACCATTTCTGTATTTTAATTTTAGAACATGTTCATCACCATAAAAGGAAATCTTATATCCATTAGCAGTCGCTGCCCATTATCCCTTCTCTCAGGCTCCCACTTCCATGACTGTTGTTGTTGTTGTCAGGTGCCATCGAGTCGGAACCGACTCATAGCGACTCCATGCACAGCAGAACGAAACAATGTTCGATCCTG